CAAAGTACCCGTAGCTTCAATGTATATTTAATATAGTGAGTATTATAGGCCCCCAAAACATTTGTTATGGTTTGTGATATGATTGGCTAAGCTTCAAAATGGAGGCGTGGCTAGAGGTAGCATGTTGGTTTTGTTGTGATCAGTCATTCCCTGCAAGGTCAGTCACTCCCTGCACGGTTGATCGATCGTACAGAATGATACTTATGTCAGTGCTACATGCATCATCAGCCATTTGCCTTTTCTTTTTCGTTGTTGGTTGTTGGAGATTGTTTTGAGAAGGGAGAAATCGAGTCTTGAGGTTTCTCACAGAATCTGATAACGCGGTGTGATCGACTGATCTTACAGATGGATAGATGATGCTCAAAACTTTCATTATTTCAGTCACCCATGCCTTTTGCAATAGATGCCTGGACTGATGATAATGCCACACTTTTTAATGTATGAGTGTAAGGGCAAAACCCGTTATTGCAAATTAGCATCTCCCTGACGCAAAGCACATCTTGTAAAGATTTAAGGTTCCTTGCATAAAAAGACTGGCTCCAAAGGGTTATTATTGGTAAATGTGCATACTTGCATCAGACTGGACACATCATTTGTGACAGGCTGCATGCACATTTGCATGTCTGTCTTATCCAACATTTAATATTAGATTTTTGAGCATGCACAATGAAGCGAATAAGTTGTAATCAGGACTATTGAATGGATGACTTCAATACTGTACCTTTATGTTATACACATAGTTTCTGCCCAAGTTGAAATGTTTACACACTCTATCAACTAGATATATATACATGTACAAGGTGCTAACAAAGGGGCTTTCTGCTGATCAGTCGTTTACATTAAGAAGTACCAGTAACAACTGCCGCTTAGCCTTGCGCAAGTTTTATTAGGTGTGATTTTGGTGGATTGAAGAAAATGTTAATGATGTTTTAATGTTTATTTTGCAGTGTTTTTCTGCTGGTGCCGAGCTAGGGTCCCATCAAAGAGACCATGACTATCAAATTATTGTAAGTAAAAGACCCCCTTACTAATTAATGACTCAATCTGGAAAAAGCCTCATTCTGGTTTTGTTATCCTCAAGTGAATAATTATTCAAGTACTAGAATATTCAGATATTTTTTTGGGTAAATGACTATTCAGAGTGAAAATCAATTACGTAAAAATGGGACAAGAATAATTTATTTGATTACAAAATTGGTATTAAGAGTAAACTTAAAGGCAACTGATACATATGCCTATTGCCTAACCATATGGTTAAAAATCCCTCTCTTTTCATACCTATTTTGGTAACGATGTAAAATCCCCTATTAGGACTAAACATCCCTGTCCTTAAACTAAATGACAGGTCAATAGACCACAACACAAACCGGGCATAGTTTATTTCTGCTTTGTGGATTTGGGGTTAACAGAAAATTCAAATATTTGATCCAAAAGAGGGTCGAGTGTTCAGATATTTTCATTTCTTCAAATTGATTCAGACTTAGCAGGTTAGGTCTGACAATTGATATCATTGTGCAAGTAACAACTCCAATGTCTTCCTTATATTTGGTGCATTTGATGTTCGCCTTCATATCACTCCAAAGAGATAGTGATATGCATTGCTACTGCTAACATCTCAATTGTGCAAATCCGAGTCTTATTTGTAAAGTATAATTTTGCCCTACTTGCCACAGAAATGAGAGTTTCATATCCCTGCACTCTTAACACCATCCAACTTTTCTCATTGGTGTGTCAGGACAATGCACTTCTAGCCTGTGGGGACAAAGAATGGAGTATGACAGAAGAGTATTTATTACTAGATGCAATAGAAACGTTTGGCTTTGGGAACTGGTAAGTGGAAAATCAACCTTGCATTCCGGTTGCTGTATTGTTCTCAGTAATCATAGCTGAATGCTTCCTTTTTGCAAAGCATCTGGTGGAGCGTGTCTGGCAATTTCCAATTTCACATCATGAAGTGGTGGTCTGAGTTTTTGCCCCTTGATCTTTCCCATAGGCCTGTGTGGTACTCTCGGTTGCGAGTGGAACCGCGGTTCCCCCCAAAAAATCGGAATCGGCGGCTCTGCTTTTGTGAAGAACCGGGCACCCACCATTGGTGGATCCACATTCAAAGAGCCAACTCCAAACATCAAATCCGAGTCCCAGTCATGTCACTGCTTAACGCCCATGAGTGACAAGCAAAGATCGAATCCGAGTCACCGCTCCCGCGTGTCCGTGTATGTATAGCATGCTGTACATTATAGCAGGGTACCCTTCCACACAAGGGAAAATGCGTACACAAATGAACTGTAAAATACCCTTGTGTTTGGGTACCAAACCCCATTGGTTATTGCACGTGCGGCGCAGTGGAGCTTTGAAGGCAGGAAGGCACAAAGCTCGAAGACTGTTTTACATACAGCTGTGACTTCAACATTGCCTGGTACTTGCATGTGACGTGTTGTACCTGCCGAATATACGTATACGTGTAAGACACCAGGCAAAATGGTCAAGTGGTTAAGAAAAAGCCTAGCCGTTCCTCGAACTTATGCACAGCGAGGGTCTCCAGCAAGGGTCTCGGTTTTCACCTTCTCACTTCAGAGCCAGTTCCATTCATGGACACGGGTAATGGCATAGCTTACAAGATAGCAGATGTATCAGAGTTTAGGTGTGCCCTCCGTGGACGAATGACCAGTTTATGCATGGTCCATGGCCATTTATGATACATTGGCGTATGTTCAATAAGTACATGTGATCAAGTCCATGAAGTTCTGCGACATGGTCGACGAATCCATTTGTATTATCGGTAAAGTTACATGTACTTGCAATGACGAATCAGTTGTTGTTCTGATTGGAGTATTGTTATACATGTACGTAGAGTGGAAAATAGTGCAGCAGGAGGCATTGCTGAGTTGTATCATGGTTGTACATACATGTTGCAGATTTATTCCAACCATGACTAGTCTATGAAGAGGTAAAAGTAAAATTCACAATACCCACTGTGGATAATCTGACAGCCCACTAAAGACCAAAAGTCAATCATCGTGCCATTCGTGAGTGGCACCAGCGTGATGCGGCACAGTCCCCGCGCAACAGATTTTTAATGTGTTTTATGAAACCTTATGTTTTTCTTTATATTTTTGGGAGCCGGTTCTAACTCGGAATCGCGGCCCTTAGCTGGGGCCGGAACCGGCTCTGAGAATTCTGGAACCGCCCAACACTACTGTCCAAGTAGACAGTGCAATGTTTTTGGCAGGGTTTGTTAGCGCACCAAATAAGACCAGCGTTTGGCCACCATAAGCTGAGATCATGTTTGAAGGCACCTGTCCATTTATCAGTTTTTTGGTCCATTCTGTATCTGCATCCGTTTGCTGCATATCAGCTCTCCCTGTCAATTTCAGTGAGCACTCTCTGTAACGAATGCATGCAGACTCCAGGCACACTGAAATGGCAATATGGAAAGACACCTGAAAGACTGAGAAGCGTCTACCTGTATACCTACGTGTTGAGATAAAAAAGGAAGCAAATGAAAAACAAAACATGAAACTGTTCATCCAAAAGAGGTAGCCGAGCTTTTGGTGCAGTGAGGGTAGTGATGGCTTTGAGCTCGGCTTCTTGTCTCGGGTGAACACTTGTTTCACAATCACTCCCCCACCCCCTCTCCATAACCACACCATGCAAGGCATTTTTGCAAAGGTAAAACTGGGCTCAGGCTTTCGGGAAGGAATATGTCCCCAACCAAATTGCTTTCTCTCAGAAATAAATATAGAACTGTAAAGGTCACTTTCTTTTTGTTTCACTGTCCTGACAAGTGAATAAATACAAGCTTTAACAACCATCACTTGTCAACAGACTGTTTTATTGAAGTGCAGCAAACAGTATTGTAAGGAGAATGTCATCATCTCTTTCCTTGCACCACCAAAGTTTTTGCTGACCTCAGCCCACTTTCATTCCGCCAGAATGCCTTACGAATTCTCCATTCCAATTGATTCCCTTTTTTCTTCTCTTCTCTAACCCAAGGGCTGATGTCGCCAGTCACATCGGCTCCAAGTCCCCCGCAGAAGCCAGGGAGCACTATGACAGCAATTACATACATGGCAACCTGGGCAGAGGTGAGCATCGGCCAAGCCCATAGGGCCGCAGTGGAGTTTATCACAACCCGGCGATGGCAAGTCCATCAAAAGTCCATCACAAGTTATCCAATCTTGAGCCAGGCCATAAGCTGTTGGAATGAATGCAGACAAAAGCATTGCTTTATCCATGCTCATCCCACTACTTTTGACTTATCTTGTAACGGGACCTTGTGACTGGACTTGCAATAGACGTAACTAGGGCCCTGCCAACTCTACCATCACATTTACTTGATAAGCTGTATTTGCATAGATTTGTTATTTTTTATCATGCAGGTATCACAACTAATGTGGAAAGATCCCTTTGAGATTTCAAACTGAAGAGCTTTTTCAAGACCTCATCTCAAATCTTCTGCTTTTTTATCACCTGTACATGCAGCATTTATTGGTAGTTCTTATTTAGGTTTTTCGCTGTTGAAAAATGTGTGGAATACAAACTTTGCATCTCCTTTTTTTCAGCTGCTGTCCCAGAAAAGCCTTCCTTTAAAGTACAAGACCACACAGGACCAGAAGATGGTGAGCAAATCATTTTGTCACAACTTTTTCGTCTTTCTATCTGCTCATATCTGCCGCAGCATTGTAGATTCTGATGTCATTGTGTGGAGTCATACACAGTTTGAACGAAGCCCGTCTATTACTTTGACCGTCAAGTTTCTTTTTGAGTAGAGAAAAAATGGGCAAAATACTCGCAATGCAAAACATGCCGCTGTGATGGTATTGTATTACAAGTAGGCCACATTTGTATCAAATCTAGAATCAGTGAGAATTTCGGGATTTTGTTTGCCTTTACCAGAGAGAAATAGAATTCTTGTTACACCTTGAGTATGATGTCTGTTAGAAAAAGTTTATTGTTGGTGACAGAGATTTGAGATTTAAAACTGCCTGAAAAAGGTGAAGCCTTGATAAAATGTGCTATACCAGCTCTATTGCTTGTTTGTGGTTTGGATCACATTTTATACAGCAGGGTGTAGCTCTTTTAAAGAAATGATTATAACTTCAGAAGTGGCTTTCGGGCCGTTTTGCGACTGCAGAGCGGTTGGATTTTCAACGCTGGGCTTGTTTTCCCCCTACAGAGGGCATCTTGACACATAACCTCTTTTGATCGCGAAGAATGTTCTCCCTTTTCCCAACAGGTCCTCTGTCACCTAGTCTCAGAGCCACATTTAGTCCAGTAGAAATGACGTTAGCTGACCAGCAGGAGTTGGGTTACATGCCCCTCAGAGATGACTTTGAGAGGGTGAGTAGAAAAGCACCTCGACTGAGCAGAGCGCTTGAATGGAAGTAGCTCATGCTTGACTATAAAGCGTGGGCGCTTAGAAGTCGCCAATGTCATTAATCCATCTTTTACATATTTTTTACAGTTGACACTGCTATTTTCTGTTGCTTGCTGCTTTCAACAAGTCACACTGATTCCAGTTGTAATGCCCTGAGAACGTGTGTGTTGCAGTTATACCCTCAATGTACTTTTGTGGAAAAACGTACTGATCCCCTGTTAAGTCAGTGGCTTTGGACTGTCGCCATCTCTCCAAATTGTACTGTCTGAGTGCATTAAGACACCAATTACCCTGTGTATATCCGCCACCTTGATTCTCGTTGTTAGAAATTACTCTACCTCTTCAAACGCCAATATCTTTCTTATTTTTGTGATATTCCAGGAGCATGACAACGATGCTGAGACACTAGTTAGTAATTTAGCTGTAACAAATGAAGATGATGATCTTGATATCAGTAAGAATTTTCTCAGATTTTTATCAGTGGTTTTGATTTTAACATTGACAAGAATGTAGTGGCAAGTTTTCGTTTTCTGTGTTACTTCAGTTTTGAAATGATTATGCCGAGTTCTCTTGCTTGTTACTGATAAATGCTTTTATATCATTTTTCTTTAGCTTTAAAACTTATTCATGTCGAAATCTACACAAGCCGCCTCAAAGAACGGCAGAGAAGGAAGAAGATAGCTCGAGATTTTGGCATCATCACAGCAGCATTGTCTTCAACAGCCACTAAAGCTAAGGATCAGAAGGACCAAAAGTCAGCCTCCACACAAGGTAATCCTTGGGTTAAAAGGCTCACCGGGTGTTAGACTTGCTCCAGACTGATTTATCACCCTATATGTCCCTATAAGCCTACCTAAGCGTCAGCCTAAAGTCTGGTTCATTCTTGGAGAGACAGCAAACACGAACACAAAGTTGTGGCGTCAGATCAGATATTCGTGTTGCACATTTGTCAAAGTTGAACGCATTTCAACTGAAGCAAATTCGGCTGCAAATGTTTTGTGACATTCACTCCACTTTCTCATTCCCCCGAAGGATGAACTGGCCTTCAAGTAGGCTCGATTCCAGCATTTAGAACTTTGTTGGCCGAAATGTTGTAGACTTTGGAAAATTATAAGACTAATGTGTTGACTAACATGCTGATTTTGGGACTTTAAATATGAACACTTGTATTTCCATTGAATTTTCTGTGCTGTTTTTGGCAAGCTGCAAAGCAAGTGCGAGCCTATGTAATACCGATTTCTGTCTTGTGACCATCTGGCCGTCCTCAAATGTTAAAGTTTTTCCTTGCTGGTCAATATGTGTAAAAATGTGCCATTGAGTGCTTGTTAGCTTCCTCTTGGAATTCTATCAGTATTTAAATAGTCTTTTATTGCATTAATGCTTTAAAACCTATGAATTTTATGAAGAAATTATAAAAGTTGAATGTTAAAGTTTTGAGTTGTATTGTGTACTTGCCCTGTAGTACATACAGTACATACATGTATGTACTGAGCATTCCTGTAATGCACATGTATG